GTCACTCTCCACAACACATTTACTCAGTCACTCTCCACAACACATTTACTCTGTCACTCTGAACAACACATTTACTCAGTCACTCTCCACAACACATTTACTCAGTCACTCTCCACAACACATTTACTCAGTCACTCTCCACAACACATTTCCTCTGTCACGCTGCAGAACACTTCTACTCCTCTTTCACTCTCCACAACATATTTTCTCCTCTGTCGTCACTTATCACAACACATTTCCTCTGTCACCCCTCCCCCCTTCCACAACACATCTACTCTGTCAATCTCCACAACACATCTACTCATCTTTCACTCTCTACAAAACACATCTCCTCTTTCACTTTTCACAACACATCTTCTCCTATGTCGTCACTCTCCACAACACATTTACTCTGTCACTCTCCATAACACATCTCCTCTGTAACTCTCAGCTAAACACATCATCTGTCGTCACTTTCACACACAACATTCCCCAGTCCTCAACACATTTCCTCTGCCATTCTTCACAACACATCTACTCTGTCAATCACCGTCACACATCTACTCCTCTTTCACTCTCTACAAAACACATCTCCTCTTTCACTTTTCACAACACATCTTCTCCTCTGTCGTCACTCTCCGCAACACATTTCCCCTATCACTCTGCACAACACATTTCCTCTGTCACTCTTCACAACACATCTACTCCTCTTTCACTCTCTACAACACATCTACTCCTCTTTCACTTTTCAAAATACATCTTCTCCTCTGTCGTCACTCTCCACAACACATTTCCTCTGTCACGCTGCACAACACTTCTACTCCTCTGTCACTCTCCACATACAACTCATTTACTCTGCCCTTCTCAGCAAAACACACCATCTGTCGTCCCTTTCACACACAACATCCCCCTGTCCTCAACACATTTCCCCTGTCACTCTGCACAACACATTTCCCGTCACTCTGCACAGCACATTTCCCCTGTCACTCTGCACAACACATTTCCCCTGTCACTCTGCACAACACATTTCCTCTGCCGTCACTCTCAGCAAAACACATCGTCTGTCGTCACTTTCACACACAACATTCCTATGTCGTCACTCTACACAACACATCGCCCTTGTCATCTCCACAAAACACTTCCTCCTTCCCCAGGGCGCAACTGTTCCGATGTGAACATTGTCTGTGAAAACGACGGCTACATAACAACCGTGGACGGCAAATGCACGTGCAGATGTGTGCCCGGCCTAGACCCTGACACAGGCTGCACTACCATTATCAAAAGCGGTAAGAAACTCCAATCTCTGAACTGATCTTGGTTGTAGTTGTCGCCGCAGTAGCGTAGCATACTTTGTGTGTGTGTGTGTATATAGCATTCAGCAGTCGAGTAGCAATGATTCTGATCAAGCAGCAGTGTTACAGTTGTAATGCATCTAGCAGTAGTGTAGCAATTGTATGGCATCCAGCAGTGGTGAAGCAATTTACAACAGCAGGTAAAAGTTGAGTAGAATCGTATAGAATCTAGCAGTCACGTAACAGCAGTACACTATCTTCCAGTAGTTTAGTGCATCTGTTGTTTAGCACGTAGCAGAAGTATAGCAGTTGTTCAACAGCGATGTGCCAGGAACATAGACCAAAACAAATCTACTAAATTGAATAACTTTCGTTGCATACTAGAATGGCGAGGAAAAGTGGGATATGATCCAAAAATAGTGCATTAAATTACCATTTTAATGTATTCAGATTTAATCTGATACTGTCAAGCTAAAGTCACTCCTTCATAATTATGTATTCATAATTGTTCAGTATTGTTTGTGCCCCTTATTTAGAGGTGGCGTCGGTTGGGATACCGGACCCGTAATCGTGAAATGGCAGGTTCGGGGGTTCGGGTCTCAGATCGGTCCGACGTTGTGTCTTTGGGAAAGGCACTTTTCATGAACTTCCTATTTGGCCCTGTCCTTTCGGAGAAGAACGTTAAACTCGGAGGTCCCGCCTCTTATTTTCTTATCACATTTTCTTTTATTTAGAACACAATCCCCCCATGTACGGACGCTTGTTTCAACAGGGACAAGCACTCAAGAGTTTCCAGGTGGCAGTTATGCTTTGCCTGAACCTAAAGATGGATGTTCGGGCGCTTCGGTGTCATCAGGAACCAGAATCCATTACAACGACGGTGAGGGTCATTTTTTAAAAAAATGTAGGTGTTTTACATCCCCATTGGTACACTTTAAATAATCTAGAAGAGCAGCTTTGGTCCATCCTATTCCAGTAGAAATACAGAGATAATTGATAAAAATTCTCCCTTCTGGGAATCAAACACCTATCTTCTGCGTGTGACGACTAAATGCCTAAATACTACACAACAGACGCCGGTAAGATACCTCTGCTTGGAACACAAAGTCGCAAAAAAAGATCGAAATAAGCACTTATTGGATTACTACCATTTCATCGTATAGGGTTCTAGTATGGTGCAGTAAAGTTTTAAATTTATGAAGAAAATAATGCGCGTATTCACCTGACCTGGAGATAATATGGGAACTCATACTGAAAAATTAATATGTACATGTTTAGGAAACACGTCTACTATTAAAAGAAACACATAACATTTTCATTCTTAAGAACTAAAATATTTATAAGTTGATATGAAAGTAATCTCAGATGGCTGTGTCATTGAGCAGGGTGGACGGGTCCTGGCTCAGGATCTAAAATGAGCCATCCAAATACCTCATGTACTTATTTGTAAGTTAGATGTTTATATTTACTAAACTAAATAAATTTGAACATTATTTAAATTGGAGTTTCTTAATCTGTGGTATAGATTGCAGGCGAACGACAAATATTATTTGGGTGAAATCTAAATTCTAAATGTTGAAAAATAAAAGGCATGTAGATCTAGATGTTCGTCACATTGGTGAAATTATTGAAATAATTTAACAAGCTCAGTTCTCTCTTCTAAAAGGGGTTACTTTCTAGGCTTGGAACATTTGAACAGCTTGCGGACATTATGATCAATCTGTTTCCTTCAAGGTATTATGAAGGGCACCAACCATATATTAGATAGACTGCTCAGAGCATGCTGTAATTTAAAGGGTATCGCCCAACTCAACGTTTTCCAAACTTGCCTATTATCCGTACACGTAAAAACCACGTGCTTATCTCTTTTCCTTCAATGTAATTCTGAAGAGGACAAACCATATTATATTTTTCAAATAGAGTGCTCAGAACTTGCTGTAGTTTATAAGGGCATTGTCCAGCTCAACGTTTTCCACACTTGTCTATTATCTGTGACAGGTAAAAACTACACTGGGAAAAACTACACGTGCAAATCGCGTTTCCTTAAACTTAAAGGTAATTTTGAAAGTGACCAACCTTATTATATCAGATGGAATGTACAGAACATGCTGTAGTTATTTAGATTTCACCCTACACAACATTTTTCACATTTTCCTTATTATCTGCCACAGGCGATAACTCCGTGTCAAGTGACTACGACTTGAAAGGAGGAGTCTCGGGAACGCAAGTCGAGCACAATTTTTGCGTCACTCAGAACTCAGCCAGTGAAGACAAATGGCCTGCAGGCAACTACTGCATATACAGGAAAGGGGGTTCTTGCCCTGAAAGTAAGAGAAAACTATTGGGTGCGCTCATGTGACCTTATGCACTTGTGAGCGTCGTTAAATTTTTCCCAACTGAAACTGGGGATTGTGCATTCAGAAGGTTTGACATTTCTGCATAATCCAGCACATACACATACTTGTGGGACCTTCTAATCCAGTGCTCGCTAACATGGACCCTATTGTCCATCACTGGGTGATTTGGTAATTTTGGTTAGCGGAATTAAAGAATTAAAATGTAAGATGACATGTAGCTTCTGTTATAGCCATAGAGACCAATTCCGGCTGGGGAAAGTTTGCCACATCTTGAGCATAAAAAAGCTCCACTTCCACTTGTGGATGTGCTTAGTTTGCGGGCTCCTTTCTTCGGTTTCAGCTTTTCTTATTCATTAAGCCTCATGACTTACTGGCCACTATGACTGCTGTTCTCTAACTGGATCTGTTACAGCTCAGTTCTCCCATGTCGAAAATTTTATATTGTAGTCCCCTTCAGAGGTATTTCCAGGATATAAGACACCCACGCCCTCCTGAAAATGTCTCCTTGTACTTATACAGAAACAAGTAACTCTCTTCCCCAACATACAGTTAAACAAACTCCCGTCCCCTGCATGCAGATACTAGAAACTATGTTCCCCCAGATACATAGAGAGCAAACTCTCTTCCCCCACATATAGACACAACACATTCTCTTCCCAATCATACAGACACAACAAATTCTGCTCCCCTACAAACAGACACAGCAGACTCCATTTCCCCACATGTGTGAAAACAAAGTACTGTCTACTGCATTAAAAATCAACACACTCTCTTCCCCAGACTTCAATGAAGCCTACGTCCAGTATGACGACACTCCGACGGCAGAGAACAGTAATTCAGTTAGCGGTTCTTTCCCCGACGGCGACTTTGGGAATAACACACGTTTTCAGTACTGCTGTCGAGACAATGGCTTCGTGTGGGAACCGATTTTTCTGCCCAACAGGAACCCGTTCGTTCTTATTCGATATTACGATGACTATTGCCAAGAAGTGAGAGGTTTGTATGGCTACTTTTTTTTTCTCTCAAAACACTTTTAGGACTAAGATAGGTGCTCAAGTATATCTACAAAAAACCCAGTTGTAATATGTCGTAGAAAAAATTCAAAAAGATAATTAAGAAAGTGTAGCAATAATTATATTAAGCGGTGTTAGATGATTTTCTTCCTGCTCCTGTAGGTTTGTCATCCGTTGGGTCGCCTCTGACAGATGACAGCAAATCTCCTCCACTCCGTAAGGCTCTCTTCTTTCCCTAGTGTGTCCCGCAGCTCCACCGCTGTCCATTTTCTGATGCTATCCTCCCATCTCTTCTTCAGTCTGCCTCTCCTTCGTCCTCCCTGCACAGTGCCTTGTAGAATGGTTTCAGCAGGGCCTGAAGAACAGGTGGCACAGCCACACCATTTCAGCTTGCGTTCATCGATCAATTAAAGAATGTCGATGTGATTCCCGATTACGTTTCTCATGCGTCTTTCCTGCGTGCATCCATTTGTATAACTTAAGACTTCATATCACTCCAGGCATGCACAGCTACACGCAGAAGATGACGATCACAAACAGCGAGGACGAGGGAATAGAGGGTTATGAAGGGGATGTTCCTCTCACTGACGTCAGCGGGAGATCTTACGAGACCACCTTCTGCTACTACAAACCCGCCATGATTGGTACCTATTGTTTTACACTGAATATCAAGCTTAATGAGTCCATTGTTCACACATAACATGGTATATGTATATAAATATATGATATGTAATATATATATATATATATATATATATATATATATATATATATATATATATATATATATATATATATATATATATATATATATATATATATATATATATAAATATATTTATTTATTCTATAAAAAATTTTTTTTACCCTACATGGAGTTGTTTTACTGTTCACTTTCGGTGAAATATATTCTAAGCTGATAGAATCTATCTCCCACGTGAAATGTAAAAATGTGCATAGATTACTCCGCGCATTACATTCGCCTTCTAACCTACTGTAAGCAAAGTATCTACAGGACCTAGACTTGAATCATGATATTCATAGACCGTACAATGTTTTGGAAGCCGCTCTTTGCCCTTTGTAAATACGTCTTTACAAAGCGCGCCCACCATAAGCGCCCAAATGAAGTGCTAAACACCAGTCCCCTAGTGTCCCTATAGATCTAGTGAGAGTACGAGCGATTTTTTTACGTTGCCCTTTATTATAAGTGTTCTAAATTGAGTCAAATGGTGTGCACCATAGTGAACCGGCATTACGTCAGAGTGCCGAGGCGCATTTTAGTGCAATCAAAGATAGTACATAACAAGATGGTCCACTCAGCCAAAAAAGTGTCCGCCGGAAGTCCGCTCTTTGCTTCAGATGGCGCTGCAGTCTGTTTTGAAGCTTTCTTTCGTTTCTCCAGAAGAAGAATAGGAATAGCACCTCTTTGCGTGCGCAGATCGACTGCTGTTCATCAGTAGTTCGGGTTCGTTCAGTGGGGAGTTTTAGTTTTTTCTATTTTAATGACATCTCGCCTTTCATTCTAAAGTCAAATTAAACGAAGAAAACAGTCACCCCTTCCTCCGAAAGAGGTTTTTTTGTCAGCGTAACCATTAAAAAAAAGCGTTCTTCCGAAACTTGAATTCAATTTTTATTTAAAAAACTTGTTAGTTTCACTTTGATTTCTTTCACACAAGTAGGGTAACTCTGTTCGCAAAGGGTGCGCATTTGCGAAGAGGGCGCCACAGAATTTTGAAGACACTTTTTTAACTGGCTCAAAGAGAGGAGTGGACCCTCTTGTTATGTAGACTCTTTGGTCTGACTCCGACTGGCACGACAAATTTTGATTTCATGTGAGACCCTTGAATGGGTCCACTTGTTCATTTGACTGGTCATTTGAACTTTGTTGGTTTGGATCTATTACGCCAGCTGATATCAGTAAGGTATAAAAGGTTTATTACACGTGTTATATTGGTAGACCATGAATTATCCTACTTGTGTAATTGCCAGTTGTAATCAATCGTTGAAACTCGTGATTAAAACTTTGCAATTTTGCTTGTAGGATAATTGATCATGATCTACCACCACAACTCGTGTAATAAATTATTTTTGTATATGTATATGATATATGTATATATAGATCTCTATATTTTTTTTAATTCAGAATTTTTTTCAATGCGCTGAAGCAGCACAGACGGGCACGATTTATGTTTAGCTAAATAATGCTGAACGCAGCACAGTTAACCCTGTTTTACGTCAATTACCATTTTGTACTCGAAGCACACTTGTCAGATTTGAAATTACAAATTGAATCTTTTTATTTTAACCACGCCCCTCTACTCCACCAAACAGATTGCGGGGAAGTTATACAACTGACAAAAGAGAACCCAACAGTGACATTCAGTGCCCCGGAAGGCTCAGAAATGGACTGCACTTGGCTCTTGAAGGTAAAACTATTTGTGTCACGACGCAGTGGAATCAGGCGCTCGTCAGTTTTTCGGCATATGAATATATTGGAAACTCCTTAAAGTTTGTTCCTGTGTTTATCTTTTCATGAAAGAAATACTCATCTATCTTTAATAAAAGTCGAGATATTTGCAATTGAAGAAGGTTCTTCTGGTTTCAGATGTAAAATAAGCGAGCAAATGGCAGACTAACTTGGGTGACTTCAACAGCTTGAGAGTCTTTGTTAACTGGACATTTACATGTTTTGTGCCTTTAATCAACGTTTTTCCAGTGAAATCCACACACAAATGTGTTATTAAACCTACACAAAGAACTTGCCAAACCCAAGGCAAAATGCCGTTATCTTCGATTTTTTTTTTACTTTGGCGAACGCATGATTTCACAACGATGCCTCACATGTTGTATTGTAGACATCATGTAGGAACAGAGGTCGAAGAACACCTTTATTGCTTTTTTGAAAAATAAAGAACCCCATTTTGCACTAAGTCAAGACTTAGAGTTTCAGATCGAGAACAAGGGACGGAGAAGTGTGTTCTATTGGTATGTGCCATCAGAAAACAGTTACTAATAACAGTTAAGTTCGTGGCTTATGTAAATCAATCTTTGTAATAACACCAAACATTTTATATAATTTTAAAAAAAC